GATTACTGAATGGGCTTTGAGCAGAACTACCCCAACCTTTTCTAATTCTTTAATGGTGGCAGTAATCTCATTATGCCCCTTAAGTAGCTTATATTGTTTTAGGTTTATGGCTTTCCAGGGAATGGCAGCGTATAGGTTCCCATTTTCCAGGACTCATGATGATGAATTTCACTATTTGGGTATACATCTGTCCTTGTAGTTAGATCCAGATCCTGTAATACCTCTCCACCCAAAATATACTCAGGAATGAGGGAAATATGCACTAGAAAACAGCAGGGAGGAAACCTGCTCATCTGTAGGTAAAGACTAATTGGGCTGACCTTGATAACCTGTTCCCTATAACCATTAACGGCTTCATTTTCTCAGAATTTTGAGGAGTTTCCATAGATAAGTATGTATCCAACTCCAGCATCTATCAGAGCCAGCACAGGTTGCCTGCCAGTGGGAGACCAATAAATGGTCAACTCAACATGGGTTCTCCCCCGCAACACACACACTAGAGGGCAATGTTGGCCTAACCCCTAGTCTCTTGGGGTAAAGGGTATCCGCCCCTGAAATTCCCCCATTAGTGGAGGGGCACTTGGCAATGCACCTGGCTTTTTTGAGCCTTCTTTTAAGCGAATAAACTACTTTGCTGGATGTAGCACTTTCCACAGGTTTAGCAAGACCAAACGGGGTTGTCTATATTTTCTCTCTGGGTCCCAATAATACTAGATCTTGCCATAGTTGTTGACAAGAAACTTTGATGGGCCCCCCTTTCTGCCATGTTATCGTTGGCGGAATCCTTTGTTTCTCCCTATTTTTCAAACTGTTTCCCTGATGACGGATTCTTTCAGTTTCACCTAACTCAGCCACCATAGCAGCTACTCTAGCAATGGGCCAATTATCCCATAGGGGCAAGGACAGATGCTAAAATCCACCCCCATGCCCCAGGGCTGACTGTAAGATACGGTCTTTCCTACTGGAGGAAAATAATTCTTCGCCTGGGCTTCCAAAATGCTGGGCATAAATGGCATGTTTTAACTCCCAGTTTACATATCATTTCTTGTGGTTCTCCCATACAGGTCCAGTGTAACACTGGGGGGAACATCCCCTTCACTAGGCCAGGTTATCTTAATGGTAGCATTTATCCAATCAATCAAATTAGCTAAGCACCTCGATTCTCACCCATGCCTGCAGCATCTAATCCTTGTTAAAGGCACGTTGAGCAGTGACTTGAGGCCATTTTTGACATCTCAAACCCATTTAACATAGTATCATCTCCCCCAGGATCCCGCAGTCGTAACACCCAAGCAGCCACCCCTCTTGCCCTTTTGCTTAAAGCTGCTGGCTAGTCCCACTAATTCAGCAGCAGAATAGTCCCTCATAGTCATTTTCTCACTAGTGTGAACTTCTCTGTCATCCCCAGGCCCACAAATGGCCTGGGTCTTTGAATCAAAGGGTATGCCCCATACATCATTTTCCCCCTCTATGATAATGTCATCAGATGAGTCATTATCCCGGGGATCCTGTACTTTGGGTCTCAATTCTCTTGAGCTATAACAGTTCGTACTTCAGTCTGTGAAAGTCTGTGCCCATGCCATCTTACACACCATAATTTCCAAGCATTCCTCTTGCTGTTGGATTCTTTTGGACATAATGCCCATATTAGAAGAACATGGGCTCCTATATCCTTTTCTAAAGCCATGCTTCTAAAGACACACTTCCCTGGTTTGTTCCAATTCTCTCCTTACTAGTAACTGCATTTCCGTGGTGTCTCATATGCACAGATTGACAGCCAAGCTACCACCACAGTAGCTTGGTCACTTTCCCTTCTCCATTTCCTTTCCCTGCTGTTTTGGGTAGGGTATCTAACAATCCCTTGGGTTGGTTTTTTGTTTGTTTGGTTTTTTGGCTGGGGGGTTGTAGGGTCATCCCTATATTCATTTACTGGTCTGAAATGCTCCAAAAACTTGGCAAGTCCTTCCACATTTCTCCCACAAACAAGGGGCTTTCCCCTTTGCCCATGCTTGTTTTGTTTTCAGTCTCCTGGCTGACTTGCCAATTGTTAGAAGGTGGAGGAGGGTCAGTAAAGTAAAGAGAAAGCACTTTGAAACTGAAAAACGAAGCAAGCCTCTCTATACCATTTACACAGAGTTTTATTCAGGGAAACTTACTGACAGTGGGGATCCCACAGAGGATGATCCACAGCAGACGCAGAAAAACTCCCCACCCAGGCTGGACCTTAATCCCCAGCTTTTATAGAGCAAGGGGTATGGTGGCGCTGCTGCCACAGGGTAGTTACCTAAAGTGGAGCCTTCTGTGTGCCACCTTAGAGAAGCTCAGGATCAGAACTAGCCTTCCCACATTCGGGTCAGGGTATACCTTAATCTCCTCGGGGCATGGAACACGTAGAGGAGGTCACTGCGCAGGCGTGAGCAAGATGCATGGCCAAAGATGGAGTCAATGTTGTCAGCTATAGTTTCAAAGTTTAAAACCTTTTGAAACTGCACATTATCAGAGTGAGTGGCTTATCATCATGGAGCTGGGCTCCTTGACCTGAGTGGCTTATGTCATCATGGAGCTGGGCTACCTATTACAGCAAATTTTCAGTATAGATCAATGAGCCTTGGGGGAAACAAAATGCCCAGTAAGACATTTTCCAGTAAAGCCTCTAAAGAAGTTAGTTACACTCTTACTTGGTGAAGCGAATTTGTAAACTTAGCATAAAGTTACTTTGTGCTTAAGAATAGACTTACAAAAGGCTATGTAGCAGATGTTTTAAATAGAGAAGCTTCCTGACTAATTTAAAATATATTACTATCAATCAAATACAGTGAATAAATTTTTGAAACAATAAATATTAGTGCTTATATATGGTTTTAATATTTGCTGAATAAATCATTAAAACTGGGCGATTACATTTATTGAGTATACACACTCACTTATTATTTTAACAGTATTTCATAAAATTTTTGTTCCAGTTATGTATTTTAACTTGTGAAGATATTTTCCACAACTCTGTTTACTATTTTAATACTTTATTAAACCATAAAAGTCTAAAGCAAAAAAAAAAAAAAATCCAAGAGCTTGTTTACATCTCTATTTGACAAAGCACAGAAACCCGATGATCTCAGATAACTTAATTACAATATCCTCCAACCCAATATTTAATGTAGGAAATTCATTGCTAAGATTCTCCTTGAACATAAAGGGGTATGTTACCATGTTACCATACCACATTCTGTAGTATCTATAAAAGTAAAGGAAGTAAATAACAGCTCTTATTACAACATCTAGTTACTTAGCATGGCTTCTAGAATACAGAACTTTTTCTTTTTTAATTTTAATTAGCAGTAAGTTTATTTTCGGTCTTTTTAAAGAAGCTTTTTTACTTTTTTTTTTTAAAAGATTTTATTTATTTATTTGACAGCGAGAGAGGGAACACAAGCAGGGGGAGTGGGAGAGGGAGAAGCAGGCTCCCCGCAGAGCAAGGAGCCCGATGCGGGACTCGATCCCAGAATCCTGGGATCATGACTGAGCCGAAGGCAGACGCTTAACCGACTGAGCCACCCAGGTGCCCCGCTTTTTTTACTTTTATATCACAAAGTGAAGTTTAAATTATATTAGGAAGTACATTTGAACCTAGTGAGTTTAGTCTTTCTTCTTCACAAGCATTTAAATAAAAACTACAATAGAAACAAATTGGTTTAAGATCGTACTAGGGGAAAATGCACGCACATTTACTCCCTTGTGTTTATTAACCTTATCTAGAACTTTATGACATTTCTTTTCTAAAATGTATATAACAACTTTCATCATTCTTAAGTTGTATTATCAAATGATATTTGTGGTATAAAAATTCTTTTTTAAGACTCAAATTTGGACATCTCTTGGTGTCTGAAAAATAATACTAGCTGCCCATATATAATTTTGTAAGGAATGACCATATTTCTGATCTTTCTTTTGTGGAGTCTAAGTATTCAGTAAGGCCTCAAAGTCTATATGGCCTATTATTGACTGCAGCCAAATCAACCTAGAGTTATATAGAACACAAAGCCTTTTGCTTTAGGAAAACAAAACAATGCTTCCAGAACCTCTAACGGTGTGCAAAAGACAATCAGAAGTTGGAAGCTAGATAACAAGGCTTTAGTGTCCACTCATAGTGCTGAATCTTTGGGTAGGAAACCTCCTTGTCTGAGGCAGTCTTACACTTTTGTAGAGTTTGGAGGTTGGGGGTGGAAAGGGCAGGTTCATTTAACTCAGAAGTCTTTCCCAGAATGAAATATGTATGCTTTTAGTGAATATTAAACACTCAATATAAATATTGAACAAGTCTTGTGTTTCATAGCAAATTGCAAGCAATGTGCCCTCAAAATTGTAGTATAAAATACAAAACGAAATACAATACAAAAGGACCCTGGGATCATGACCTGACCTAAGTCCAATTTTTCACCCTTTTTCAACTCTTAGTTTTTCTCCAAAATCTTCCTTGATTATTCCTAACCTCACTAATCTCTTTTCTGGGTTTCCCAACAAGAGAAATGTGTCTATAATAACCAACAGGTATTTAAAAACTCTTACTCATTAACTACTTTAATTGAATATTTCCTTCTCCCTATTGGAATACAAATGCTGAAAATAGTGAAGTATATGAGATTGTAAAATAAGCAACAACTAGATGGTAAATACTGGCTTAAGAACCAACAGGCAGGGAGTAAAGTAGAGCGGGATCCACCTGGCAGCCTCTTTCTCAGTTGAAACCCCCATTTGTGAAGAATAAAGTTGGTTGTATAGGAGGGATGAAAAGGAAGCTCTGGGCCCCTGCCTGAATGAATCAATCAGGCTCAGTTGAAAAAAAATTTTTTTCCAATCATTTGAACATTGGAGGGCGCAAGACTGAGTCATTACCATATGGGAATACAGCAAATGATTGGAGCACAAAGGGCAAGCTCTCATGAAGCCAAATGCTTTGCAACCTCTTGGCAGGGAAGAGAGGACACCTGGACATGCCTCCTCCTGGGTGAGAGTGTTGATCTGGCTGGAGGAGTGCTAAGGGCTCAAAAATGTCATTTTTGATCTTCAATGATAATTTCATGCTCCAGTGTTGTTGTTTTGGTCGTCTCCATAGAAGATGGAGACGCCTTGGCAGAGGAGCTTTGGTTGGGCACAGGGGTAGGAGATCCAGGCAGGGTTGATGAGGCAGGAGATGGGGTAGAACCAGGGATGCAGGTGACATGATTCGACTTTCCATCTGCGTGAATGATGATAGTGTTACTGTCGGTGGGCTTGCCAAAGTGGACAAAATATAAGACCAGAACAACAAGCGCTGTGGCAATTAGACAGGCCAAAAGACACACCAGAAATGTTTTCCAGAGTGACCATGGTTTTGCTGTAACCTGCAATGAATTATGAAAAGTGAATATTTCAGCAAATGACATAGTAGTGACTTAGGTAACTGATTTCAATTAGAATAAGGCTAACCTGTTTCATTACTCCAAATGCTATAATTTAAAGTACAGTTTATCAGCTGTCTCTTTCTCTTATTCCCTCCCTCTCTCTCTCTTTATCTCTCTTCTCACACACACACAAACTTGTCCACAAGTCCATGAGGACAGAAAGTTCCCTCTGAGTTACCCCTTTGTACTAAAGCAGTAAGGCATCATCTCAAATGCAAATAGATTGCCTTTGGAATATATTACTATTAAGTTATTATCAGCTACTAATATCGCAATATAAATCAAATTATCTAGCTAGTCCTCATGGTTAAGAAAATTTTGAAAACGCATATCAAAACATTTAGATTGGTTATCTTTGAGTGATGGAAAATTGCAGGTGTTCTTTTGCTCATTATTATCTCCTCTTTTCATATTACATATTGAAATTTTATAATTAGAAAAATATTTTTTAAATACATTTTTATTTCTTAAACATACATATGAGGACTTTCATTGAGCTTGGAAAGACATCAAAATACAAAATGTATTAGCTCTGGTATGGGTAGGGTCTTCAAGGAATAGAATGAAGCCCTGACAAACTGTTGGGGGTTGTGGGTCCCAGGTGTCACCAGAAGCTTGTGGACAGGCGGCACAGGAGAAGTGGGGCCAGTGAGGGGTGAAAGGACATGAGAGCCCAGCAGAGTTTGTAGAGCAGGGCCTGCCTTCCCCATTTCACCAGTGGTCCACGGACTGCTAAAGACTCCCCACCTACCCCCAGTCCCAAATCTTACCCACTGCGGCTGGAGGGTCACAGTGGGTAATCTACAACCACAGCGGGTTCCTTCATTCAAACAGTATGGATTTCTGGGCAACTGCAGAGAAAGACATTTTAAATAAATAAATAAACAAGCAAACAAGTCTTATTTTAAAGATGAAGAAAGTTTTATCTGGGAACATAAACAAATGAAGCACATATAAATGATGTGAATCCAACATGTATTAAATGAAGAACCAACCAAGTTCTAGAAGAATCTGAAACTCTAATAAATGGTATGATAGGAATTGTACAAATACGTTTTTCCCACCAAGTGATCAATGAAGAAAAAATAAAATAATTGATTCAATAGGTGCCCAAGGATCATTTTCACAAATTTCAGCATTCAGTCTTGACAAAAGCAGACAAACAATACAAATCTCAAAGAACTACAAATAAAATAGTAATTCCCAAATGTGACAAGGAATGTTTACCTCAAAACACTGACTAACATCATATTTAACAGTGAGACATCAGGCACTTTCCTTTAAAGTCAGGAGAAGTGAAGAACGTCTCCTAACACCAATAGTAGGTAATGTTTTTCTAGAAGTTCTCATCAGTATGTGTGAATAATGGAAATGTGAAGATAAAATTAACATTTTTTTCTACATCATATGACTGTTTACAAACAAGATCCCAAATAATCAACCATACAATCTCTCAAAAGGAATAAGAACTCATTAAATTGGCTGATTATAAAAATATGAAAAATATATGTAACAGCACTTATTTTCTGTGTGTGTGCATGTCCTAGCAACTGCTATTTGTAGTAATAAAGCAATATAAAATGGCCAAGCATATCAAATGCTATAGGACTTATATAAAGAAAACCACAAAACTTTACTGAGGAACAAAAAGACAACTTTGATAAATGTCCTCTTATAAAAAAACTTCAGCAGTATAAGCTTTCACATCTCTGAATTTTAATTAATATCATTATGGGATTTGGGGAGGAAAAACTTAGGTAAATTGACAAAAATTTCACATGGCAAAATAAAGCAATTATAAGAATAAAATTAGTTTGGATGGGAGAGAGGACAGGAAGCAAAATATTAGCAGTGATTTTTTTTTTTCTGGGAGGGATCATGGGTGATTTTTTCTTTTTTCTTTGTTATTGTCATATTTTCCAAATGCTCTAAAATAAGCAAATAAACTCAGTAATTGTAAAAAAAATTTTCTACCTGTTGTTTTGGGGGATCTAAGAAGTTATAGACTGTCAGATTACAAAAAGAAAAAAAAAGGGAAATCCAAACATTCCTTTTTATGGTTTCAGAAGTCAGTTTCACTATTTGCATTTTTTGTTTGTTTTTGTTTGTTTGCTTGGGTTTTTTAAGCTAGATTATCTAATCATTTGGCCGAGTGGAATAAATTGTATAGATTTTGGCATGTGGGGAAATAACATAACTCACATTTTATTTATAATGAAAAGGAGAAGGAAATAAAATGATGTATACATGCTATTAAAGCAATGACATTTTGTAACTTCCCTGAAATATGAGTCATCCTATAAATGAAGTTTATGACAGTCTAGTTGTTGAATCCCAAAAGTGATCACAAATATAACCTTCAAGTGGCAAAACAATTCTTTTATCAAGTCCTATCTTTCTATTTATTTCTTCTGATTCATCTCTTGGTTCTACAAACTCAGGTTGATTTAAAATTCATTTTTCCTTATTATGAACGTAGTAGTAAAGTTTTCTGAAAAGTAGTTTCTTATAATGAGATTATAGGGGTGCCTGAGTGGCTCAGTCAGTTAAGCTTCTGCCTTTGGCTCAGGTCATGATCTCAGGGTCCTGGGATGGAGCCCCACATCGGGTTCCCTGCTCAGCAGGGAGCCTGCTTCTCCCTCTCCCTCTGCTCATGATTATCTCTCTCTCTCTCTCTCTCATTTGCTCACTCTCTCTCTCAAATAAATAAAATCTTTTTTAAAAATAAGCTTATATATGAGAAATCTGAGTTCTATTTCTGACTCTGCCACTAGCTAAGTGGACTCTTAATGTTTCAATTCCCTGATGTGTAAAATGAAGAGATTTGTTTGAATGAGGAATGAGACCCCATACACGTTCTAAGAAATATGATTTTTATATTACTAGAGTAACACATTTGCAGCATAAGTCTCCTCGTGAGACATTTTCCATAAATTACTACTTTAAATACACACAAATAGGCCAATGAGAATAAATATTTTCATTGGATCAAATATATAATAATAAATAATAAAATAAACATAAATAAATAATAATAAATAATATTAATGTGTGCTATAAACAACATTCCAAATAATTTACTAAAAATTTTGTCTACAAGTACCTTATTATACAAATGTCAAAATTCAGGCAAAATATAAAAATTTAGGCAAAAAGTCTAATGCACAATTCCCAAATGATATGAAAAGCAGTATCTGGCATATTAAATAACCCCCCTCAACACTTGTGATTACTGGTAATAACATCTAAGATTCCTTTCGTCCTATAATAGCAAAATCAGAAAAACGCAACCTAACTTTCTTGAAGTGTTACATGTTAAATGTTGAAAGCAACACTATGAGACAGGAAAGCAAGGTGTTGGTACTCACCAGCTCTACTGGACTCTGTTCAATATCCACAGCATGATGCCGGTCGCCATGCATTCTGAGGGTGCTGGTATCTCAAAATGCAACTCCAGAGATGTCTATACTCACTTTGTGTATGAGAAGTTGGAAAATCCTGGATTTATGTTAAATTAATAACTGGATTTATTCAATCTGGATTATGTAAAACAATAATCATCTATTTTCCAAAAATATTTCCAAATTCAACCCCAAAGTACACGATGTACGCTTGCTGAGGAAAAACAAATAGAAAAATTTGCTCCCTTCAGAAAAACAACATGCAGAAAGTTATCTCAGCTGTAAGAATGACTCCAGGATTCTGAGCAGATAAAAACCCTTGCCCTCCTTATCTCACACAATTTATTTAAATCACGAAAACTTGATTTCTCATGGGTTAGGAATTTAGCTTTTGTTTCTTAAAAAAACCCACACAGCCACTCCTTGATTATGAACATTACAGAATATTCTGTGGCTAAGCAGGGGGATTATGGTAATGACTAATTTCAAAATTTTCCAGAAATAGAAAAATATTGAGATTACAGGGTCATGATTGATTTAGGTGAATGGTGAATAAAATCTATGGTGCTGTTGAAGTCAGTGGCTATACTGAGATGGACAAGGGAAATAAAAACTTACTAAAATGGTTTCAGCCAAAAATAAAGATAAAAATAGGAAATAAGTATACTTCATTAGCTCCTGATTGTATGAATCAAGGATTATCCACGGTAAATCTGATCTGCTTCTGTGTAAATTTGTGTTGCTTTAGGCTATGTAATGATGTCATCACTTCTTATGAACCCCAACCTTTTTGATGAGCAAGAACTAGAAAAGAAACAATGTCTTTGGTACCTTTCCATTTCTCCCATGGAAAAGTTCACATGATACAGCATGCAAAACTGAAGTGATGTTTTACATCAATCTGAGAATTAATGCTCCCTGGGCCTTTGACAATGTGGCATGCAGTATGGAATGGAGAAAAAAATGACTTTTTAATCCTTCTTAATCATGCGTTTCCTGTAAGCCAACAACTTCCAGCAGGGAGGCTAATGACATGAATTTCCAAAATATTAATAAATTTATACATATCCTAATTCAAAAGCAGACGTGTCTTATTGTGTGATAAGTAGACTCATGAAAAAAAAAGTATGTAACGAATTCCAAACCTCTGGACTTCTCATTAAGCAAATATTAAATGACTTATAATTAAATTTATTTAAATTTGTTTTGTATAAGTAACTGTTTCATAGTTTTGTATGTCAGCAACAGATATTCAGGAAACTAAAAACCTAAAGAGATATTTAAAGAACATTTTCAAGTATCTAGAAATAAATCTACTAATAGAGGTGTACTACTTTTAAATGGAAAAAAATTATGAAATTTAAATGAGCAAATCATCATGAAATCCTAAATAAATATATGGCTGGCAGCATCATAAATTGGTAAGACAACTTGAAAAGCATTTGATATTATCTAGTAAATTTGAAGATATTCATATACTATATGATCTAACAATTCCACTCCTAGTATGTTCCCAGAGGAAACACACATGCACACACACACACGAATGTTTATAGTAGCATTATTTATCAATTTTTTGAAAATGCCCCAAATTCACATCAACAGCAGAATAGATAAGTAAATTGTGATATATTTGTACAATAAAATACTTTCACCAATGAAAATGAATAAACTATTACTAAACACATCAAATCTATGATTCTGACAAATAAAATGTAGTGGGAAAAATAACAGACACATTAAACTAAATTGTCTTGTTTAGAGATACATTCATAAGTGATACATCCATTTTTTAAAAAGCAAGGAAAAGATTAACATAAAATTCATAATAGTGGTTACGTCTCAGGGGAAGGAGAAAAGCAGAATTGGGGCTGGATACAACGTGGAGGGACTCAAGAGGGGCTGGAAGTATCCTACTTCTGACCTGAGTGTGATAACATGGGTGTTCATCTTATAAATAGGCACCAAACATGACAATTTCTCTGTGTATGATGTAAGTTAAAAGTAAGTACTTATTGAGATACGTTGGAGAGCTCTAATAAAATTCTTTCTGATTTTTTTCAATACCCTCTCTTTCCTCTGAGTTCTTAACAAGTCTCTGACAGTAACGTGGAAGCTCCATTTGCATTTTGGCTAGGCTTGATGCCTGAAATCTGTAGTTTCAAGGCCTGATGTCACAGAAGTAAACCATAAAATAAACTAGTTGCTGTACCTGTGGCCTGGTTAAAAAAAAGAGAAAAAAATCCAGTTGCTTTATGGTAATTAAGGTTGAGGTTTGCCTAATGATGGTGCCCTCTTTCAACACCAGCCTAAATAGCTTCTTACCCTGGGGTTTAGTGCCTCACTTCATGAAAGGCTCAGGCCACCGGACTTTGGTGCCTCTCAGCAGGGAACAAGTCACTGCTGGGGCATCACATTCTTTGTGTTAATCATTGTGCACCAGTGAGCTCATGCACAGCCTCTGTTTTGTTTATTTGTTGGTTCTGCAAGTATATTAATTATTATCGATGCTCAGACTTGAACCTAAACCTTCAGTTTTATGGTCTGGTCTAAGCATTCATGACCCAAGCCCTGTAAGTTTGATTTCCACCCTGACCATCAAAGATTGAAATATTACTCCCCAGAGAAAGGAACAAGCACGTAAGTCTGTCGCTTTTGCCCAGCTACTGAATGCTGGTTATTCAGCCAAGATCACAAAGCGCTAGAGCGTAGCAGCCAGCCTGCATCTGGATTTCTGCGGACACTTGCTGGGCTTCTTTTGCTTTATCCACAAAGGAAAATGGAGAGGCAATTGCTCGGAATCCTTAGAAGAACTGAAGAGATTGTTTCTGGGTTCTGTTGTAATGGAAGTTGATTCCTATGTCAATGTTAATTGACATTTGTGCTTCTTCTTGGCTCTGAAGATCAGATAGAAATCAAAAAAAAAAAAAAAAGAAGAAGAAGATCAATTTCGGGATTCTCTCCTGTTGCTATGGAATCCCCAATAGGGAAATGTAGAATTCTGAGAAAGTTATCTAGAAGCTCAGTAGAGTATGAAAAAAAAAATTGATATACCAAAATAATAGAAGTTAAAACACCCTAAAATAAACGAAGTTTTGGTGGTGGTGGTGTTGTTTTTAAAGCTTTTATGTATTTATTTATTTGAGAGAGCGAGAGAGAGACATTGAGCATGAGCAGGGGGGCAGGGGCAGAGGGAGAGGAAGAAGCAGACCCCTTGCTGAGCAGGGAGCCAGCCCCACGTGGGGCTTGATCTCAGGACTCCGAGATCACGACCTGAGCAGAAGGCAGACCCTAAACTGGCTGAGCCACCCAGGTGCCCCATAAATGGAGTTTTATGATACATACATTATATGTATATACTAAAATATATATGTACTATGTAAATATATATAAGTATATATATACTAAAATGTTAACAATTATACATCAATTTATATATTAACTATATATTATATATAAATATATAGACAACATATATTGATGTAAGTGTTCATATATACTAAAATATACAAAATTCAATGCTTCTTTGTGAAAACATTTTTCTCTAATCTCATAAAAGCAAACACTTACGTGTCCGGGACTACAATAGGTACATAAAGTACTTTAACCTTCAAAAATGCCCTATGAAAAAGTATTATGCCCATATTACAGATGAGGAAACTAACCCTCAAGGAGTTTAAGAAATGTCCTTCAAGTTGCAAAACCAATAGTTGCTGCATAGCAGAAATTCAACCCCGAATCTAAGTCAAAAACCCATGTAGAACCGGAAAATTGATTCTTCAGATGGAAATCGAATAAACAAATCACTTAGTAGATGAATACTCTGATGTAAATAAGATATGAAGTAACATACATGAATTGCATTCATTTATGATTTTTTGGATTTCTTTTGTACTTCAGTTTTAAAACAATGTTCTATGACTATTTAAAAAAAAAAAAGCATCCACCAGACTAGATTCATCCTTCCATTATAATACATTAACTTTAGTTTCCATTACTCACTCCCCTCAATTTACTATCTTACTTCTCTTATCATTTTTTCCATTAGGTTATGAAACATCTGATTTCATATATGTCTTTCCAATTAGAAAAGTAATATAAATATAAATATTTATAAATAAATAAAAGTAATATAAATAAATATAATATAATATAAAGGTAATATAAATATATATAAATATAATATAAATATAAGTATATTTGTAAAGTATAAAATAAATTTAAAAAGTGATATAAATACAAATATATAAAGTAATATAAATATAAATATACATTTTGAAGATAGTTCAGAAATTAGAAAATAATTGTTTATCCACTATTGAAATGTGATGGATTCCATACAGACTTTTTTCAATGCATATCTAAAGATACTTATTCCTAAATTCATCTTCTTTCACTTAATTGCTCCAGCCACACGAGGCTTGTAGCAGGCACCGAATACACCAAGCTTTTTCCTGTGTGTTTTTTCTGTCTACAAAACTTACTCAGGGGGCACCTGGGTGGCTCAGTTGGTTAAGCATCTGCCTTCAGCTCAGGTCATGATCCCAGGGTCCTGGGATCGAGCCCCGCATCGGGCTCCCTGCTCCACGGGAAGCCTGCTTCTCCCTCTCCCACTCCCCCTGCTTGTGTTCCCTCT